AACTTCTTTTCACATCTGCAAAATTTTTCTTACAACCACCAACCCCATTAATCCATCTCCTGAATTGAGGGAGAAGAAATGAAGACAATCAATCATTTTTCCATAATTGCAATCAAGTGCATCCTGTTCTACAATATAAAAAAGAAGCGCAGTAGTCCAAAGACTGAAACTTTGTTTAGAGTGGTGACAGAACTTAGTTAGTTCAACTTCAGAAGCCTAGTAATCAAGAAATACTACCACAGCTTAATCATGAAAACCCAACTAAATTTATAGAGAGAAAGAGAGACTGTGTACATACCTGAGACATGTTTCTTGACGCAGTGATGTTAGAGAGAAACCCAAATGAAGAATCGAGAAAAGCTAGAAACCATTGTTTCAAATTTCACTAGATATGAAGAGATCTGTGAGATTAAAGATTTAAGACTTCATGACCAAGTTGTGGATTTCCAAGACAAACTACCTACTCTTCTATATAAAAAGCTAGAAAAGTTGCCCCGCCGCCCGCCCCCCCAAAAAAAATAATAATAATAAGGCAAAAGAAAGATCCACTTTCTTCTCTAAAGAACTTCAGTCGCCCGATCCCCAAACATTAATCACACATTATGATTATTTTGCTTTGAAATCATCTATGTTTCTTTTATTTACAAAAACTATCAAAGATTAATTATGGAGCCATGTTCAATTTTTATGTGAGATCACGAGCAATAAAATTTATGCATGCCAGGCGACACGAGTGAACTTATCATTGGTGAACAAGAACATAACATTTTTACTACAAGGTAAAGGCAACTAAGAAATTTGTTTACAGTTTGGTCCCTTTTTGGGCGGAGTAAGTAGAAAATTCAATGCATTGTGAAAGAGATCCATATCTGGGGCCCACCGGCTGTAATGGCGGCCAACGCTGTTCCTTATCCTAACAGAACCATTTATTTATCATTTTATGTAAAAGATACTCCATTTCTGANCTCAAAACGATATATAATATTATAAAGCAAAATGCACAAATGTGCGAATACACAACAGCCAACGACTGAAGACACAGCAGCTAACAGCTGAAAAAGTGAGATCCCGGCAAGAAGACACAGTAGACAGGTCAGAAGACCGCCTAAAATCCCGGCTAGCAGCGCTAGAAAAAAAACACTCGCAACTAAACTAACCAACAACACAAACCACTGAAACAACTAAAAAGACCCCAACAGGGTAATACCCGAGTGTCGGATCCCACCAGGATAAGAAATTTGACACTCGGGCTCACATAGACCAAATGGTCCAAACCAAAAACAAGAAACCGAAAACAACACAACATAGGCTCAAACAAACAAACACACCTAAACATAAAAACAACTAAGAAAACAAGCCCTTCCTCAGCCGAACACCCTAACTGAACGAGAGGACAATAGATGACTCCGAGAATAGATCCGGGACACAAGAACCACGCCTGCCACTGCTGCCGAACGCCTAGCAAAGGCAAAGACTCACACCCCGAGTCAATCCAAGAACCGACCCGCTCTCCAGCCAAAAGGAAATCGACTCCTCCCAGACCCACCATCGTCCCGAAATGGCCTAACACCACTAGCCCACTCCGGAAACAATGATCCCCCCAGACTCAGCACCAGAGAATGGGGGAGAAGGGACCAAGAATCGACCTCCAAGCCCCGGCCAGTCCGCCACCGCCATCACAAGTCCGAGCTCCGAGCTCTCCTCCCAGCCCCTGAAAATGAATCCCAGTCCTCCACTGCCACACCAGCCAGCGAGCCGAGAATCGGAATCGACCGCTGCCAACCCACAGAAGTAGAAACAGTCCGTCGGCAGAAATTGAAAGGAGGACTCACCCGAGAAAAGATGACGCAAGCAACCTGGGTCTGAGCCGCGTCCAGCCACCCTCGCCAAGCTCTACCCAGCCTCGCCACATAGGGGCTCCGGTGACCTTCAAGCACAACTCGAAGAGTTCCGTCGAAAACCGCCATCCTCAACCGCCGGCGCGTGAGACGAAGGAGAAGAGCTCGCGAACAATAGCGTGGACGCGCGGCGGAGAGCTATCCACCGTCAGCCGATTGCCCACTGGGAGAGGCACAGATCGCCAGCAAGGATTAGGGTACGATGCGGAAGGGAAAAGGGGAAAATCGCCTTTGAAGAGCGTGCAGAGCTTTTACTTTTTGATTTTCAGCGGTTTTGTGTAGATCCCATTTCGAGTTTGATTACTCAAAAAATTATTACAAAAGTCAAACCTATGAGTGTAGTGTATGTATTATTAATGTAGCAATGACTCCAAGTTATTATCTATAAAATCAGATTATGACAGAAAACGGGAGGAAAAAATGAGTGCGGGTCCATTAAACATGAAGCGCGCCATAACAGGGGAATATGAAACTCAAATAGAGTTTCATCCCAAAATCAATTGGTGGAAGGAGGAGTAACTCATTAGACTTATAAGGTGAGTCTATTTAACGATGTAGGACAACTCACGAGTGATATTCTAACACGCCCCCTCACTTGTGAGTTCTTCAGAAACCCAAGTCCAACTGAGCTGGGTGACGGGTACGTCATCGCACGGTCACCAATAGAACCGGCTATGATACCATGATAGAAACTGGGGAGAAAATGGGTGCAGGCCCACTAAACATGAAGCGCACCATGACAGGGGAAAACTCATATGAAGCCCAAATAGAGTTCCATCCCAAAACCAATTGGTGGAAGAAGGAGTAGCCCATTAGACTTATAAGGTGGGCCTATTTTTCATGTATGAATGATGTGGGACAACTCACAAGTGATATTTTAACAAAACATGCTCAAAATAATTGAAAGTTTAAAAAAATTGTTATGTTGTTTTCCAGTAGAACTATAGTTATTGTTGCAAAAATTTGCATTGCATCAATTATACCATCATGGTCACTTTTGACATTATAAAAAATTATTCATATTATTAACTTTTGAAAGAGTGTTACTAATTTATTCGAACTATCTCATGATGAGTTGGATGACATTTAATGCTGACAATGTTCAACTCACTTTAGCATCTCCAATTCTCAAATGTTGTTGTGGTAAATTACATTCTACATCAACATATTTAGTATTTCACCATTTTTCATCCTCCAATGTACAATGTGGTCACAAATGTTGTGATGATGATGACATAATCAATGTCTACAATGTAGAAAGTAACGTGGTTCATCAACATTCTCATCTACACTCTAGTTAACCAATGAAGAGAAGAAGAACATATTTCTTACAAATTTCAAGCTATCTAATTATTTAATTAATTCTATTTCTTCTTTTTATAATTTTTATATTTGGTAAGTAGATAATATTCTTGTTAGACTACATTGTGCATTTTNCTTAGAAAGTGGCCTAGAAACACCAAACTCAACAACACTAATAATCTAAAGGCAATTAGAACACCCGACACCTTTAGAAATAATTTGAACAAACAATACAACAACTATACCTTATCAAACTAAAACACCTAAGGCAACAGGTAACCCCTGAACCCACTATACTAAAAGTTGACCTAGGTGCTAAGCGATTCCCGACCGACTCAGATTAGCATGTATTAGCTGAAACAATCGATTGGTCTAGTGCCTAGCGGGCGCCTAACAACTTCTAGAACACTGACTGGATGCATAATAGACATAGTCACCTATGTCCTCAAGCTCTTTTGACTCATTTGCTGCAGATATGAGAAAATTCCTTCCAATCTTTCAACGTCGCCTTCATCACTGGCATCATTACCTTCTAAAATTTCCACAAGTTGTTGGATTTTCAGAGCCACCAAAGGATGTAGGTAGTCAAATGGATTCTTGCCTCTGAGATCATTTTCCTTTCCACTGAGAACACTCCCAACCGCCATTCTCTGAAATTCCGGCGGCTTCTTGAAGATCACCCCAACAAATAGGTGCCATCTTTCAGATTCTCTTTCCCCTGCTATGTTGAAAAAAAAAAAACATGTTCAATAGTTTCACAATCATCTCAACAACTCTGGCAGATAGGATCAATTTCTATTCCTCTTTTTTTCAAATTCATGTTGACTGGTAGCACATCATTTTAGCATTTCCACCTAAAATGTTTGAGCTTCCCTTAATTTGCAATTTTCATGTTCTTTTTATTATCTTCTTATTCTAACATGCAGTTGCACTACTCTCAATAAGATCAACTTCTGTAATTTTTTTCTCAATCAGGTAAGAGTAAGAGCTGGCCACCGAAAAGACCCCTTTGGAAATGTCCAAGTCCATATATCTTTCAGAGAAGGATCAAGAATTCTGATTTAGGTAATCGCTTCCCTATCAGAATCAACAAATAAATCCCTCAAGAGTTCTTCTTTCCAGTTTCTTCCTCCCTCCTCAAGTAACTCTTAAACTCAAGTCAGTTGACAATCCACTCCTTTTTAAGAAATCCCTATTTTTGATTCAGGAATCTAAGGATCATTCCATAGCCTGGTAGAACACCCATCTCTAATTTCAATCCTAAACCCCTGTCGAAACTTATCCCTCACCCTAAGCCAATTATTCCAAAGCCAAGATGAACTACTTGTTGTCTTAGCTTGAAACAAAATCTCCTTAGGAAAGTATCTACCTTTGAGAATTTTACTTACCAACAAATTTTGTTTTGTATCTACTCTCCATATTTGTTTTAAGATTAGGGCCTCATTAAAAAGACATATATCCTGGAAACCCAAGCCTCCCTCCTCATTTGGTAAAGTCATTAGTTTCCAGGCCTTTTAGTGCATCCCTGGTTTGTGTTCCTCCCCGTTACTCCACCAAAAAACTGCACACAGTCTGGCTATTTCTTGGTAACCTCTTTAGGTAAACAAACAAGACAATATGAAAACCATGAGAGTATTAACTCTTTTCCAGCATTAGACAAGAATATGTTCTTCCAGCTCACTAGCCTATTTCTTACAACATTCAACACAATCTCAAAAGATTCCTTTTTGGATTTCTGTATGCCTAGAGATAATCTTAGATATCTGGAAGATATGTG